ACCGACTCACCTGTGTGCAAAGTCCCAGAGGGAACTTGCCAGTCGGCAATCTCTCAAACCTCCCTTGCACTACTACTGTTAACCTCTTCCACACGGAGGTCCAACAAGCCCCCCAACCCCCGGGTATCTTCTTCCTATGTGGCAGACAGGCATACACTTGTTTAGACAGAAATTGGACCAGAGTATGTAGCTGAGCATTCTTAATCCCAGAAACCTCAGTTGCCACAGACCAAGAAATTGAGATGGCTCTAAATCCCCACTACCAGTCCAAACAGGCTGTATTGCTTCCCCTCCTGGTAGGAACTGGCATAGCAGCTGGGATAGGCACTGGAATAGGAGGCATCAGCACTTCAGCCCACTTCTTTCATAAACTGTCCTGGGAACTCTATGAGGACATGGAAAGGGTGGCCAACTCCCTAATGTCCTTACAAAACCAGTCCCTTAGCAGCCATGGTTCTGTGAAACCACAGGGCCTTGGACTTATGGCTGAAGAAGTGGGTACCTGCCTCTTCTTGCAGGAAGAATGCTGTTACTATGTAAATCAGTCAGAAATTGTCACGGGAAAGGTCAAGGAATTGAGGAATCTCATTCAAAGGCTACATACTGAGTCAGAAAGCCTCTGGGGCTCCCCAGGACTTGGGACTTGTACTCAGTGGATCCTGCCTGTCTTAGGGCCTGTACTAACGCTTTTCCTGGCCCTCACCTTCGGCCTCTGCCTAGTCAGCGCACTCCAGTGCTTCATCGAGGCCACAGTAGTCAAGAAAACAGCAGCCCAACTGCCACTAAACTCAACTGAAATATAAAGGTAATGCTCCATATAGTTCATAAAAGAGCATCAAAGGGGAATGAAGTGGAAAGTTTGTGAAAAATCTCCTGATTGCCCGACTAACCACCACTATCTGCTTCTGTATGCACGCTTCCTGCTTGCTAACTAGGAAGTCCCTTGAGAAACGGCCACATTGCCTAAAACCTTCAGTTACTCCCCTGCACCCAACCTATAAAAGTTGTGTGCTATTCCAGGCCAGGGCCAGACCTTTGGGTGCAAACCCGTCTGGGCCCACTGGCGTAATAAACTGTGTTCCTCCGACCCTCTGAATGATGTTTGGGTTTCTTGTCAGGTGAAATTCTTCCACAACAGAACTGGTTTATATTCCCACCAACAGTGTAAGTGTTCCTATTTCTCCGTAGACTTGCCAGCATCTATTGCTTCTTGACTTTTTAGTAATTGCCATTCTGACAGGTGAGAGATGGTATCTCATTGTGGTTTGTTTTGCATTTCTCTAACGATCAGTGATGTGGAGCTTTTTTTCATATGTTTCTTGGCCACATAAATTTTTTCTTCTGAGAAGTTTCCGTTTATATCCTTTGCCCACTTTTTAATGGGGCTGTTTTTTTTTTCTTGTAAATTTGTTTAAGTTCCTCGTAAACAAATAGGTGAGCTCTCATCATTCTTGTTTAAACACCTAACAGACATCCTAACCAGTGCAACATGGCAAGACAATGAAATAAAAGACCAATAGAAGAACCGAGCATGGTAGCTCATGCCTGTAATCACTACATTTCCAGAGATTGATGTGGGAGAATGACTTGAGTTCAGGAGTCTGAGACCAGCCTGATGGTGAGACCTTACCTCTACCAAGCAAACATAATTTTAAAAGGGAAAAGATCAATGGATAGGAAATAAATAAATAAATGTCTTTTTTTTTTGTCACCAGCTTCATTGCATATGTAGAAAACACTAGGAAATTCTGAAACAGTCTCTGGAATTAATCACTGAATTTGCAAAATAGTTCCTAAAATACATGTAAGAAGTCACTGAGATGAACGTGAAGAGATAGCAAGCAATACTAGTCATCAAAGAAGTGAAAGTTAAAACCATGATGAGAAACCATCACTCATCACCTAGAATAGGTAAAGTTAAAAATACGTATGATAAATCTAAATACCGGCAAGAATATGGAAAAAATAGAAATGTCTGATATTGCCGGTGGGAATGCAAAAAATGTTGCAGCCAATTTGTAAAGCGGTTTGGCAATTTCTTATACAGCTGCCCATCCATTACCACATGACCCAGCAATCCCACAAATATGTATTTATCCAAAATAAATAAAAATATAAGACCACACTTGTAAGCAGTTATTTATAGTGGCTTCATTAATGACACACCCTAACTGGAGTAATCCACATTTCTTTTTTTTTCCCCCATTTATTTATTTTATTGCATTTTAGGTTTTGGGGTACATGTGAAGAACATGCAAGATTGTTGCATAGGTACACACGTGGCAGTGTGATTTGCTGCCTTCCTCCCACATTTCTATCAAGTGGACACAGAGAAACCAGTGAATAAACCGGTATTCCAGCAATACTGGGCAGCTGCTCAGCAACAAAAATGAATGAATGACATCATCTTGAACATTGTTATGCTGAGTGACAGACCAAACAAAGGACTACATCACATATGATTGCATGTCCATGAAATTCTAGAAATTTCACTACTTCAGTGACAGAAAGCAGAGCAGTGGTTGAATGAAGGGAAGGGGTGAGGGTGGGAAGGATTAAATAGAAAGGGACAGAAAGAAAGTTTTTAGGGAAAAGAAACTGTTCTCTACAGGGCCACAATTCTGGAGTGACTGGGCGGTGGGAACTAAGGAGAGAGGAAGGTTTGAGGGATGAGGGGCAGGGAGAAGGGCTGGGGAAGCAGGAGGTGAGGAAAAGGAGCAGGGGAAAGGACTCTAAAGCAGTGGAGGAGCCTAGCAGGGCGTTCTTTGCATGTGGTGTTTCTCTACTGTCCAGCGTGGTAGTTACATGACTACGAATAATTACCAATATTCACCAAAAAGCTCAGCTAAAACTCATAAATTTTCATTATATGTAAATTCCCTAATAAGAAAAAAAAGGGGGGGTGCAGGGAAAAAGGCTAAAAGTAAAGACATTTTTAGATAATCAAAACCATAAAATTCATTTCCTAGGCATCTTGTACTACATGTAATTTTAAAGGAAATTCTTCAGGCTGAAGGGAAATGATACTAGACGGTGACCCAGATACACAGAAAGGAACGATTAACAACAAATGATGCACACACACATATCACATACACACTCATTTTCTTAATTTCCTGGAGGCATATGACTGCTTTTCTAAAACAGAAACATTACACTGTATCATTGAGTATATAATGTATATTGATGTAATATATGCAACAATAATAGCATAATGGTAGGTTAAATGAAACTATACCATTTCATGTGTCCTTTATTTTGCTGGATGTAGTTTAACATTACCTCAACCTCACTGTGAAAAGTCAAGGAATTGAGTTTCCATTCTTAGAACAATAAAAAATTAGTGTAAAGAAATATAGCTAAAAGCCACTAGGAGAATTAAAACCATAAACTAAAAAATGTTCGCTTGACACATAAGAAAGTAGCAAAGGAGGAACAGAAACTGTGAGATATGAGACAAATTGAAAACAAATAGCAAAGTGGTAGACCAGAATCCAACCATTGTAAGGGAAGAAATGACACGACCTGAGTCACATTAGCGGGAGGGCTGGGCACTGTGGGGAGAACAGACACGGGAAGGAAGTGAGCCACGGTGTTAGTGCCACAATTCAGGAGTGACAGGGTGGCAGGACTAAGGGAAGAGGAGGATGTGAGGGATGATGGGGCAGAGAAGGGCTGGAGAAGCAGAAGGTGAGGAAAAGGAGAGAGGAAATAATTCTAAAGCAGTGGAAGAGCCTAGGAGGACCGCCTAAGAACTAATGGCCTCCTTAAGATTAAAAAAAAAAAGGGTTACAAAAATACCAAGTGTCCAAATAAAGTATGCACACTGCATCGTTCGCAAAAACCGGCAGTGCTGGAGCGTTGGTGAAGAGCATTGGGACTGCATGGAGCACTGGCAACTTTGCGGTGGTGACTAAAGGCTCGTGGTTGCAATATACAGAAACAAACCCTGCTTCTTCTTTTTCTTTTTTTTTTTTTTTTATACTTTAGGTTCTAGGGTACATGTGCAGATCATGCAGGATTGTTGCATAGGTACACACATGGCAATGTGGTTTGCTACCTCCACTCCCCCCCCACCGCCGTCACCTACATCTGGCAATTCTCCCCATGTTATCCCTCCCCGACCTCCACAACCCCCTCCCCACTGTCCCTCCCTTGCCACCAGCCCCCCAACAGACCCCTGCTTCTTTGTATTCAGGAGATGTTCTGGGCTCACACGGGGAATCTTGGGCTAGGGAATGAAGATGATTTTAAATGTAACAACCCAGAGTCACAGATCCTTAGTCTGGGAAAGTAAAACTTAGCTTTGAGCGCTTAACTGTGATGCTGTTTTGACACAGGTCTTTTAAAGATTGGAATCCTAATCTGTAGGATTTTAATCCCTAATACAGGGATTACCAGTATTGTGCTACCTACTGTATTAATAAACAAAAAGGGAACTGTTCTCTATGAGAATCTCTGTCTGGTGCCTTCAGACAAAACTTGACCAGGTTTAGAGAGAAAACCCCTGTCTCTACACCTCCATTCCCAGGGCGAGCTCACTCTCTGGCATCAAGTTCCCCATGGTGAGTTTCCTTGTACAAGAGTTGGAGGGGAGAGGTATGGAGTGGGAGGCACGGGAGTCCAGTTCAGGGACTCGGATTCCAAGACAAGAAGTGATGGGGAAGGGGCAGGGCGCAGCCCTGGCTTCTCTGCCTCTCCCCGGTTTCCATAGACAGGTCCTTGGCCAGTACTCATGCAATCAGTACCACAAAGAGGCTCCTGAGGGATCCGGACAAAGTCCCAAGTCCTGGGCGTCGGTATCAGGGTGTCAGGTTCCAAGGGCCCATCTGCACTGGGGAGCAGCCCAGATTCCCCCACTTTCCTGCGTTTCACCACTTCTCCCAACCTATGTTGGGTCCTTCTTCCAGGATACTCAGCAGGCGACCCCAGTTCCCACTTCCATTCGATGTAGAAAAGACAATTAGCGCCGTCGCGGTCCCGGTTCTAAAGTCCCCACGTACCCACCTGGACTCAGATTTTCCCCAGGCACGGAGACTGGGGTCATGGCGCCTCGAACCCTCCTCCTGCTGCTCTTGGGGACCCTGGCCCTGACTGAGACCTGGGCGGGTAAGTGCAGCGTCAGGAAGTAAAGGACTTCTGCCGGGAGGAGCGAGGGGCCCGGCCGGCGGGGGCGCAGGACTCGGGGAGCCGCGCCGTGAGGAGGCTCGGGCGGGTCTCAGCCCCTCCTTGTCCCCAGGCTCTCACTCTTTGAGGTATTTCGGCACTGCCTCGTCCCGGCCGGGCCACAGGGAGACCCGCTTCATCGCCGTGGGCTACGTGGACGACACGCAGTTCGTGGGGTTTGACAGCGACGCCGCAAGTCCGAGGATGGAGCCGCGGGCGCCGTGGGTGGAGCAGGAGGGGCCGGAGTATTGGGACCGGGAGACGCGGAGAGCCATGGCCAAGGCACTGACTTTCCGAGTGGGCCTGCAGACCCTGCGCGGCTACTACAACCAGAGCAAGGCGGGTGAGTGACACCCGCGCGGAGCGCAGGTCACGACCCCTCCCACCCCCCACAGACAACCCGGGTCCCCCCACCGCCCCGAGTTTCCGGGTAGAGATCCACCCCGAGGCTGCGGGACTCGCCCAGACCCTCCACCGCGGAGAGCCCCAGGCGCCTTTACCAGGTTTCATTTTCAGTTTAGGCCAAAATGCCCGAGGGTTGGTCCTGGCGGGGCGGCGCTGGATGGGTCCGGCTGACCTCGGGGACCCGGCCAGGGTCTCACAACCTCCAGGGAATGATTGGCTGCGATGTGGGGCCAAATGGGAGCTTCCTCCGCGGGTATCTCCAGTTCGCCTATGACGGCAAGGATTACATCTCCATGAACGAGGACCTGCGCTCCTGGACCGCCGCGGACCCGGTGGCTGAGATCACCCAGGGCAAGTTGGAGGCGGCCAACGTGGCGGAGCAATCGAGAGCTTACCTGAAGGGCGAGTGCGTGGAGTGGCTCCTCAGATACCTGGAGAACGGGAAGGAGAGGCTGCAGCGCGCGGGTACCAGGGCATCGGGAGCCTTCCCCACCTACTATAGAACTCCCGGATGGCCTCCCACGAGGAGGGTAGGGAAATGGGATCAGCGCTAGAATATCGCCCTCCCTTGAATGGAGAATGGCATGAGTTTTCCTGTGTTTCCTCTGAGGCCCCCTCTGCTCTCTAGGACAATTAAGGGATGATGTCTCTGAGGAAATGGAGGGGAGTACAGTCCCTGGAATACTGATCAGGGGTCCCCTTTGACTCCTGCAGCACCCTTGGGCACCCTGACTTTTTCTCACAGACCTTATTCTCTGCCTCACACTCAATGTGTTGGAAAGTCTGATTCCGGCTTCTCTGAGTCCCTCAGCCTCCATTCAGGTCAGGAGCAGAAGTCGCTGTTCCTGCCTCAGAGACTAGAACTTTCCAAGGAATAGGAGATTATCCCAGGTGCCTGTGTCCAGGCTGGGATCTGAGTTTTGACACCCCAGGTGTCCTGTCCATTCTCAGGATGGTCACATGGGTGCTACTGAGAGATGCAAAGTGCCTGAATTTTCTGACTCTTCCCATCAGAGCCCCCAAAGACACACGTGACCCACCACCCCATCTCTGACCATGAGGCCACCCTGAGGTGCTGGGCCCTGGGCTTCTACCCTGCGGAGATCACACTGACCTGGCAGCGGGATGGGGAGGACCAAACTCAGGACACGGAGCTTGTGGAGACGAGGCCAGCAGGGGATGGAACCTTCCAGAAATGGGCAGCTGTGGTGGTGCCTTCTGGAGAAGAGCAGAGATACACTTGTCATGTGCAGCACGAGGGACTGCTGGAGCCCCCGACCCTGAGATGGGGTAAGGAGGGGGATGGGTAAGGAGGGGAATGGGGGTGTCATGTCTCTTCTCAGGGAAAGCAGGAGCCCTTCTGGAGCCTTCCGCAGGGTCAGGGCTGAGGCCTGGAGTCAGGGGCCCCCACCTTCCCTTCCTTTCCCAGAGCCATATTCCCAGTTCACCATCCTCACTATGGACACCGTTGCCTGCCTGGCCATCCTGGGAGCTGTGGTCATCGGAGCTGTGGTCGCTGATGTGATGTGAAGGAGGTTGAGCTCAGGTAGGGAAGGGGTGAGGAGTGAAGTCTGGGTTTTCTTGTCCCTTTTGGGGTTTCAAGCCCCAGGTAGAAGTGTTCCCCTGCCTCATTACTGGGAAGGACCATCCACACATGGGCTGACCCAGCCTGGGGCCCTGTGTGCCAGCATTTATTCTTCTGTGAAGCACATGTGACAATGAAAGACAGATGTATCACCTTGATGATTGTGGTGTTAGGGTCCTGATCCCAGCATTCACAAGTCAGAGGAAGGTCCCTGCTAAGGACAAACCTTAGGAAGGCAGTTGGCCCAGGACCCCATACTTGCTTTTCTTATGTTTTCTGATCCTGTCTTGGGTCTGTAGTCATAGCTCTAGAAACTTCTCTTGGGACCAAGACTTGGAGTTTCTGCTAAGATCTCATGGCGCTGCCTCCTCCCTGTCCCCTCACAAGAAGTTTTCTTCCCATAGGTGGAAAAAGAAGGAGCTACTCTCAGGCTACATGCAAGTGGTGGGGGGCGGGAGTGTGGAGGAGCTCACTCACCCCATAATTCCTCCTGTCCCACGCTTCCTGCGGACTCTGACCAGGTCCTGCTTTTATTCTAACCCAGGCAGCGACAGTGTCCAGGGCTCTGATCTGTCTCTCGTGGATTACAAAGGTGAGACACTGGGAGTCTGAAGTGGGCAGGGTTCGGGGCAGAGGGGACCGGACTAGGTAAGGTGGATTCTTTGACTGGGACATTTTGAGTGTGTGGTGGGCTGTTCAGAGTGTCATCACTTACCATGACTGACCTGAATTTGTTCATGACTATTGTTTTCTGTAGCCTGAGACAGCTGCCTTGTGTGGGACTGAGATGCAGGATTTCTTCACGCCTCCCCTGTGTGACTTCAAGAGCCTCTGGCATCTCTTTCTGCAAAGGCATCTGAATGTGTCTGCGTCCCTGTTAGCATAATGTGAGGTGGTGGAGAGACAGTCCACCCCGTGTCCACCGTGACCCCTGTCCCCACGCTGACCTGTGTTCCCTCCCCAGTCATCTTTCCTGTTCCAGAGAGGTGGGGCTTGTGTCTCCATCTCTGTCTCAACTTCATGGTGCACTGAGCCGCAACCTCTTACTTCCCTACTGAAAATAGAATAGAATCTGAATATAAATGTGTTTCCTCAAACATTTGCCGTGAGAGGTTGATGAGTTAATTAAATAAGTCAATTCCTGAAATTTGAGAGAGAAAATAAAGACCTGAATCCGCATGTTCGCTGAGCTGTGTCTGTTGCAGGTGGGGATGGAGAAGGCTGTGAGGAGCCGAGTTGTGGATGGGGCCTCTGCCCTGTTGCTGTTGAGTCCATCATGGGCTTTATGTAGTCAGTCCTCAGCTGGGTCAGCTTCACTGCTCCACTGTCCTTGTCCCTTCAGTGGAAACTTGTCCGACAAAAGCTGTGACCACAGAGAGTTACACATCACCCAGGGCGTCCCCTGCACACAGGAGTCTCTGTTTTTCTGAGACAAAGTTTCAGACCCATTCAGCTCCTGCCCTCCTTCTAGGGCTCCTCTTCTGCTCTGCTCTCCTGCCCTCTCTCCCTTCCCTGGTTCTAGTGATCGTGGTGCTGGCTCCAATCCCAACTCATGAATCTAAAGCAAAGTCTAATTTAGATTCATATTTTTTTGTTAAATTGGGTCCATAGTCTAGAATTGTTCTTTCCTGAAGAGAGAAACCTGGTTGTGTGCTGCAGTGTGCGTGGGGGTTGGTGTGGGAGGAGGGTGGGGGAGGGAGAACACAAGCAGCACTGCTGAGAAAAGCACAGGCAGCCCGGATGTCAGTGTGAGGGGACCTTGTGCTGTAGCTGCCACAAAACAGCATTTGGCCTGAGGCTATGTTAACAAAGATCCTGTCTAGAATAGGAGGTGCTCTACAGTGATCATTCATTCATCTGCGTTTGAATCGTTCTGCATCTGGGGAACATCACTGAAGTAAAATCAGAAAAATCTCTGGCCTTTTGGAGCATATGTTACAGCGGGAAGGGGCAGAAGATGGATACACTATAACCAGAGTAAGGAAGGAAAGTGCTAGAAGGTGGGAAGTACAGTGAGGCTGGTAATCCAGGGTGTGAAGAGTGGGAACAGGGAAGGTGGCTGTTGTGCTGGGTGGTCAGTGTGCACCACATTGCAAAGGTGACCTTTGAGGAAAGAGTTGAGGGACGTGTGAGTGTCCATGAGGATATCTGGGGAAGTTCTTTCCAGGCAGGGGAACTTCCAGGGCAAATGCACTAGGGCAGGAAGGTGCCTGTGTTCCCAGAAGAGCAAGGAGGCCAGGAGGGCTGAACAGAGACAAGCTAGATGACGTCAGAGGTATGGCCACAGCAGGTCAGCTTGAGGGCAGTGGGGCTGGATCTGACCTTTGTTCTGAGTGGGATGGGAGATGGAGGACAGTTTTGAGCAGAAGGACATTGTATGACGTCTCTTTTAAAAGGATCTCTGACTGCTATGCTGAGGATGGAATTGAGAGGTGAGGGACAAGGGAAGCAGAAGGCAAAACAGTAAGAAGTGAGCGCAGTATTCCAGGCTGGAAATGTTCGTTACCTGGACTGGGGTGTGAGCAGGGGACATAGTGGGATGTGAGGGGATTCTGGATGCGCTTTAAAGTGGACTCATGGCATTTGCCAATGGATTGTATCTGTGGTGTGAGAAAGATGAATCAAGGACACCCATAGTTTTAAATGAGTAAGTAGAAGGGTGGAGCTGCTATCAGTGGAGATGGGGGGACTCTGGCAGGAGCATACTGAGGAGGGGGCCTCCCAGGCACTCAGTGGAGGAGATGTCTACCAGGAATGTAGGTGAGGGAGCTGGGGTGGCAGCAGGGCAGACAACTCTAGAGTTTAGGAGAAAGGACTGGGCTGGAGAAGTCGATTTAGGAGGTCACACCATATAAACAATACTTAAAACCTCAAGCATGGATGAGGGAACCAAGGGGGTCAGTTGGGGGGAAATAGGGGAGGGACGGTGGGGGGTGGGGAGCTGGGGAGAGATAGCAAGGGGAGAGATGCCAGAGGTAGGTGATGGGGAGGAAGGCAGCAAATCACACTGCCACGTGTGTACCTAGGCAACAATCTTGCCTGTTCTTCACATGTACCCCAAAACCTAAAATGCAATAAAATAAATGGGAAAAAAAATGAGCGCAAGGACTGAACCTTGGACCTCCAGTTCTAAGGGGTCTGATCAGACCACACCCAGAACAGACTGCACAGTTCTGACCCCACGCCTAGAGGACACTTAGACAAGGACCTCTCATGTGCACAGGAATCACCTGGACGTGGTGCTGAGATCTAGGAAGTCTGGAGTCAAGCAAGAGATTCTGGATTTATGACAAGGCCGGAGCTCCTGCTGTTGGTCTCCAGATCACACTTGGAGCAGCAAGAACACCAGGATCCCACATGTCTGTGCATGAGCCTCGCCTGTAGGGCTTGTTATATAAATGCTTCCTTCATCTTGTGCATAATACTGTGAGACAGGGGTTCTGGGGAGCGGCCTGAGGATTTTCTAACCCCCACTAGCAATCGTGTTGCTTAGACAAATTGGGAACCACTGACATCAGTGGTCAGAGAGTGCCAGAGTGGGTGGGTCAGGTGGGTTTTCAAACCTTGGTTAAAAGCTGTTTTTTCCCTCAGAAAGAAAAGGGAGGTTGTATATCATCAATTATGAGATGTAATATTCCCTGTTGATCTCTCCACCATGGGGTAGAGGCCAGGTAGACAATTCGGGATGTGGCTCTCACACAACGAACACCTCTGAAGGCTGCTCTCTGACGCTGGGCCACATGCTGATTTCTCACTCACTTCTTAGAGCAAACTGTGGAAAACAAATTTCTGTAATTTACACATAAAGTTGTATATCTGGTGTTGGTGGTTAATTTTATTGTGGGGAAGGCCACAGAACAAGGCTGAAAACTACACATCCAGGAACAGAATCTACAGCCCACCCTGGATCAGGTCCCTCCTGGGAACAACTGCCCCTGCTGCTGAGCACAGACGCCACTGCTCACACCTCTGACACCCTGGTGCTGGACACTGGGCCCTGAGGCTAGGACAGATGTCACTGCTGTACCTGGAAACTGGACATCACTACTGCCACTCAGCCATTCTCTCTAAAATGCATTCTGCACAGTCCCAGCCTCTCTATGTCACCTCATTCTTGCTCAGAGTCTGGCAGTGATATAGGAATTCAGTTGAAATTATTTAGGCAGGTAGAGAGGGTACAGAAGGCTCAGTAAGGTTTTCCTTTTAATTGAGAGTAGCCACCAAATCATTTTCTTTTCTAACAAAGAGCAGCCTGTAAAATCAAGCTTCAGACATAGACAAGCAAGCTGGAAGCTCTCATGGGTGAATGCGGCAGCTGTGCCAATAGGAAAAGGACACCTGGGACTAGGCATGTTCTCAATGGTGGCTCCATCTTCCCTTCTGTTCACCAGCCATGTGTACTGTAAGGAGAAGACAACATGGTACCCCCCTAGTGGAAAGCCCATTAACCTAATAGGATTAGGGTGGGGGAACAGCTTTTTCCATGCACGATGTAAATGTCACACCTGGTCCAACCAACCTGTAGGCCCTGCATAAATCAGACACCATCTCCTCAGCCTTGCCTATAAAATCTAGGGCGCTCTGATTCCAGGCCAGAATTTCCTTTCAGGCACCCCTCTCTCACACACCAGAGAGCTATTCACCTTTGTCTTTCTTTTGCCTATTAAACCTCTGCTTCTAAGCTCACTCCTTGTGTGTCGGTGTCCTTAACGTTCGTGGTGTAAGATGGCAAAAGTCCCATTATTTACCCAAGAAAATGACACAGCTTCAGCAGGTGCTCATATGACTGGTGGAGCCTAAGACTGATGTCCATGATCAACTGCAGGGGTGACTGGAGTGTTGTCCTCTTCTAGGGAGGGAGGTGGTTTCTGTCTCCTCTCAACACTTCACATGTTGTAAACCAAAAATAAACTTCAAAGCCACCCCTCCCAACCATCTTAATGGACACCCTCAGCCAGGG